CAGCATCTTAAGAATCAGGGCTAGGGCTTTTAAAGGAAATAAAATTATACTTTATATTAATCCTGATTTTTAGGTTTGTTTTGTTTTTTGAGACAGGGTTTCTCTGTGTAACAGTCCTGGCTTTCCTGGAACTCACTCTGTAGACCAGGCAGGCCTCAAACTCACAGAGATTCGCCTGCCTCTGCCTCCTGAGCACTGGGATTAAAGGCGTGAGCCATCACTGCCCAATTTAATCCAGATTTTATTTTATTTATTTTATTATTTTATGGAATTGTTTGCCTACAAGTATGTTTGTGTGCTACTTGTGTGCCTGCTGCCACAAAAGCCAGAAGAGGGTGCTGGATCCTGTAGAACTGGAATCACAGGTGCCTGTGAGCCACCCAGATGCTAGGAACTGAACTAGGTCCTCTGAAGAACAGCCAGTGCTCTTATTGCACTTAATTGCCATATCTCCAGCCCCATAATTCAGATTTTAAAAGCACTTCTCTGTGTGGCCAGATCACATAGAACCTACTACTTTCTTTAAAAGTAGCCATTTTTACAAAAAACGAGCTTTACTCAGATGCTTACAAAGGACTTCCATCTAGTGACTGTTGGCTTAGAACTCAGTATGCAGTGCAGCTGATCTTGAACTCATTAATTCTCCTGCCACAGGCTTCCAAGTGCTGGTTAAGGCATGATTCACCATACCTGTACAACCTTTAAGAACAGGTATAAATGGACAGGCTTGGTGGCATCCACCTACAGTTAGTTTCAGCACTGGGGGACAAGGCAGAAGAATCACAAGCTCAAAACACAATAAGGCTACACAGGGAGAAATAAAAATGAACGTACACGTGTAAGGGTCAATTTGAGAAATATAAACAAATTTATATGCTTATACTAAAAAAATTTGGTATATATCTCATAAGTGTCTGTGTGTGTGTGTGTGTGTGTGTCTGTCTGTCTGTCTGTCTGTCTCAGTTCCCAGCACCCATATGGTAGCTCACAGTAACCTGTAACCCAGTTCTAAGGGATCTGATACCATCTACTGTCCTCCATGGGCACTGCATATACATGGTACACAGACAGACATATAAACAAAACACTAACAGAAATCTTAAAAAACTATATATTAAGATGTGCTGGCTAGTTTGATGTCAACTTGACACAAACTACAGTCACTGGAGAGAAGGGAACCTCAGTTGAGAAAAATGGCGCCGTAAGATCCAACTGTAAGGCATTTTCTTAATCAGTGACTGATGGAAGAGGGTCTGGCCCATTGTAAGAGGGGCTATCCCTGCGCTGGTGGTCCTGAGTTCTCTAAGGAAGCAGGCTGGGCAAGCCATGTGGAATATGCCAGTGAGCAGCACCCTCCATGGCCTCTGCATCCAATCCTACCTCCAGGATCCTGCTTTGTTTGAGTTTCTGTCCTGACTTTTCCTTCAATGATGGAACAGTGATACAGAAATGTAAGCCAAGTAAATCCTTTCCTCCTCAAGCTTCTTTTGGTCATGGTGTCCACACCAAGAGAAACTCTTAACTAGGATATAGGTTTTCCCAGCCTAAGAGCAGAAGTCTCATCCCAGCACTTACTATGCTTTTCCAGGAGTCTTTGCTTCATTGGCGCTGATGATGAATAAAGGGAACAGGATAGAGAAGAGGCAGCCACTGTTTAAAGAAAAAAAGGTCAACTTCACAAGGCATGACTTTAAGGAAGGTATCCATCGGAAGCTTCATATCTCTTTCCCTGTTTTGCAAACAGCATGATGTGATGAAACCTTAATATATCATATAAGCACAGCTTCAAAAATGAACAAGATTTTCTAAATATCTGCCTCCAGGAGGCAGCAAAGAATATGGCAGACTACATTTTAATGTTGACAAATAGTCAATTACTATTATCAACAACAGCAAAAACATCTTCCTGATGGTCAAGTGATGTAAAATGCTAGATACAGAAGCAAACCAATAAAAGATGCTTGTTAAAACACACTTACTACCCCAGTTTTTATTTTTCTAGTTTTCTATATTATACCTGATAATATAGGAGGATTGCATTGCTGTGAGGAAAGCCAAGGGCAAGCCAAATCCAAAGTAGTAAGGCCAATTCCTTTCTATGTTTGACAATCGCTGGTGCATTTCAATTCCTAAAACAAGGAAGTCGGTACATTTAAGATTCATATTTTATTTACATGACTAGACTAACTGCCATACCCAATTATTTGAGGCTTAGGTTTTAGGCATAGAGCTACCATTTGGAACACAGATACAGCATATAAACAATACAAATCTACCCAGGTTCATGATGGTACAAACCTTTAATCCCAGCACTCTGGAAAGCAGAGGCAACTCAGTCCACATGGGGAGTTACTGACGGGCCAGAACTAAAAAGACCCTGTTTCAAAGAATTGTGCAAATCTGATATAAAGCTTCAATGCAAAGATTTTACAATAATTATAATTTCAAAGTAGCATTAATTTTAGCACCAGTATCCTTTGACAGGACAGTCTAGAACAAAGCAAAATATCAAAAGAGGATGGCATCTTGCCAGGTGGTTGTGGTGCATGCCTTTAATTCCAGCACTCAGGAGGCAGAAGCAGCCTGATCTCTGAGTTGGAGGCCAGCTTGGTCTACAGAGCAATTTCCAGGACAGCCAGGGAAACCGTCTCAAAAACAAACAAAAAAGGATAGCATCCCTACTGAAAGCAGTTACCCCAGTCACCTTCACCAAGATGAATATGCAAATGTTTTTGTCTGATTGTATTTAGTTTTTTTTGATATAGACTCTTATATCTGGTCCAGGCTAGTTTCAAACTCAAAATCCTCCTATCTGGACCCCACACGAAACATCGAAGTCTTTTACATGATTCCCAGCTGGATATGGTGGCACACACTTGCAATCCCAGCATTCAAGTTGCCAAAAAAGAGGACTGGAGTAAGAAACTAGCCTGAACCATAAAAACAGCAGGCAACTGGGGCTGGAGAGATGGCTCAGAGGTTAAGAGCACTGGCTGCTCTTCCAGAGGTCCTGAGTTCAATTCCCAGCCACTATATGGTGGCTCACAACCATTTATAATGCAATCAGGTGCCCTCTTCTGGCATGCATTGCAGGCATAAATGCAGGCAGAACACTGTGTGTGTGTGTGTGTACATACCTACATACATACATACATAATAAGTAAATCTAAAAAATAAATAATAAACACCAGGCCACAAAGCTACATACAGCAAGACCCCAACTCAAAAAAAAAAAAAGAGAGAGAGAGAGTGTGTGCTGGATATGATGGTGCATACCTATATTCCCAGCACTCTGGAAATAGAAAGAAGTTAGATCAGAAGTTCAAGGTCATCCTCAGCTCCATAGCAAGTTCAATGCTAACATGGGCTACATGAGATCTTGACTCAAAAAAACAATAATTTAAAAAGAAAACAACTAAAATTTAAAAATAATAGAATGAAAATAAATAAAGGTTTTATTCCAAAGTAATCAAACAAGCTTGACTTGATAGTGCCCATATGTAAAATAACCCCAGGACTCGGGAGATAGAAGCAGGAAGCTGGAAAGTCAAGGCCAGCATGAACTAAGACTGAGCGTACAACGCCAGCCGAGGTTATATAGCAAGATCATGTCTTAAAATAAGTGGATAAAAAATTTTTTTAATTCTAAATGCACTAGCATCTACTTAACTTCTCTAAAAACAAATTGTGCTCTTTCTATCCACTTCTGGCCCAGACAGAGCTACATCATATTAAGCACTAAAATGGTAATTTATTCTACAATGCCACTTCCCTTGACCCCAAAGGTTAATGAACCCACGAGGCCAAATGTAACCTCCCGCTTGCCAATGAGCCAATGTCTTTTCAGAAATCTGCTAAGAGCTTACGTACTGAGTAGCTGAGTCTGTGTAGCACCAGTCTTTCTGAACAGGTCCTGGGTTTCTCTACATGGGCTTACCTTTATTGAACCAACGGTACTCAAAGCAGTACAGCGAGTACAGAAGAGACATATGCAGCAGGCTCACCAGCTGACCCACGAGGTGGATGGGGAAGAGACTCACAAACATCCCCTGAGGAGCAAATGCAACAAATCTTAATTCTGGAGTGTCAGACATTCCTCACTTACTACTCCAATCAGAGATGGCTTCCTGATGACTGCCGCAAAAGCTGTTTAGTGGCAGGGTCAGAATCTCCAAAGGGAGAAGAGGTCAATTCATGGTTCTTATCATTTTATTTCAAACTCTCTAGCTGCTTCTGAGGAAAAGCTTTTAGAGTCTCACTCTCCCCTTTCCCCGCCTCCCCTCCAATACCCATGCCTCAGGTAGGTACTATTGTCCTCTCCTTTTTCCTTCCTTAATTTTTTTAGATTTTTAAATTGTATATGTCCGAGTACTCTGCCTGCATGGATGGATATGCACCACTTGTGTGCCTGATGCCCTTAGTCATAAGAGAATGCTACATCAACTGGAAATGGAGTTATGGATGGCTGTGAGTCACCATATGGGTACTAGAAACCAACCACTGAGTCATTTCTTCAGCCTCCATTTTCCTTCTCTTAAATAAGTCGTGTGTGTGTGTGTGTGTGTGTGTGTGTGTGTGTGTGTGTGTGTCCTCTTAAATCTCAATGTGTACCAATTCTTATCTCTACCTAATAAACTTCAATTTAACTTCTTAGGTAGAGGTTCACTGGGTGGAAGAGCTGCTGTGAAAGCAAAAGGACTGAGTTCAAGTCCCCAGCACCCACATAAATGCCAGGCATGGATGGATGTCAGTAACTCCAACACTTGACGGGAGGCAGAGACAGACAAATCCTAGGAGATTGCTGGCCAGTCAGTCACCCTAGCCAAAAATAGTCATCTTCAGGTTCAGTCAGAGATCTCATCTCAAAAACTAAGGTAAAGAGTGTACATACACTCCCCACCTCACACACACACAGTGCTTTAAAAATCATTACTTTCCACAAAGCATATATGCATACTCCAGTATAAAGGCAAAAACCCATCTTTGTGAAGTCCCCTCCCCTAAACTTCTTTTTCCTTTGTTTTTAAAAATGTCTCCACGTGCCTCTCACCTGAATAAGGAAAAGTGCCTGTAGCAAAAGGTTGAAGAGCATGTCAGCAATTATTTTGCTGACGCTGGGGAACGGATGAGGTTTTCTCCCAGATACCTCAAATGCCAGGTCAGCTATATCCTGAAACAGAACAGTAGTACAGCAAAACATGAATTAACGGTCCCGTGTCCATCCCCAGAGCTGACACCATGGTCTGCTACTACAGCTGCCAGGTGAGAAAAGTCTGCCTTAGTAACCTGAGACAGTCATTTCATTTTACAAAGCCAGAGAGATTACCAAACT